TTGCCTTCCAAGTGAGAATTTAAAGAAAATTCAGGGTTTGATTTCTACCCCCCTTATCTTTTCTGGGAGTAGATAAATTGCGTGAGTGGTCAGCACACCTGCCAAAGTCAACTTTTGAAATAGACATAACGTAAGACCAGCATGAAGTTGAGCCTTGTTCCCCGGTGGAGCTCTGCCTCTGAGGATTTGGATTCTATAGGACTGGTTTGCCAGCCACAAAGCCTGCAGAGACACGTTTGTCCAAAAGGAAAAATGATTGCCTTTTGTTTTGAACCACTTCATCCATCACTGGTATCATTTGGTGCAACTTGATATAGAAGCACCAGAAGTAACTTTCCCCACTACAGATGCATTTTAAAAAGGCGCTTGTCTGGTATGTGGTGGGACCGCTCTTGTGTGACATCTTGGCCTCAGTGGTGCTGCTGGGCTCCTTCAGCCCATGAGATGACCCACTTTTCTTGAAATAGGCCAGGGGCTCGGGAAGCTTAGGGGCCTCTTGCTTTCATTGTCAGGCAAGTGAGAAGGCACCTGGGACCAATGCATGCCCTCTGAGATTGGGCTTCTGGGGACTTCCAGGCTGTGGATTTGTACCTCATGCCAAAATAAAAAAAATGATAATCCTATAGCACTGAGGTAGTGTTCAGAATCAATATCTAAAATTTGGAGACTGACTCAACTGCCACTATTTTAAGAAATGAAAAAAGGGAAGAAAATTGTTTTTCAATCAGTCTTCAAATTCAGGATGGTTGAGTGATCAACAATGTGGACCTACATGTAATTTTTTAAAAGGAAGGAAATAGTTCAGCCTTTAGTGGTCCTTGGTTTGTATTTCCTATATGATACATAGCCAGGTTTGAGTAACTAATAGAACTTCACAAGGTTAGAACTTGGAGTGGATAGAATTGTGTCCCCAAAGATATGTTCAGGGCCTGTGAATGGGACCTTACTTGGAAATATGGTCTTTGCTGATAGCATCAAGTTAAGGATCTCAGGATGAGATCCTCCTGAATATGGGTGAGCCCTACATTTACCAACAGGTGTCCTTATACGAGAAAGGAGAAGGAGATTGGAGACAGACACGGAGAGGAAGAAGGCATGTGAAGATGGAGGCTGAGACTGGAGCGATGTGTCTGTAAGCCAAGAAACACCACGGGTTGCCAGCCACCACCAGGATTCAGGATAGACACATGGAGTAGGTTCTCCCTCAGAGCCTCCAGGAAAAGCCAAGTATGCTGACACCTTAATTTTCAACTTAAGGCCTCTAGAACTGGGAAATAATTGATTACTGTTTTAAGTCACCCAGTTTGGGGTAATTTGTTGCAGGAGCAGCCCTAGGAAATAAATACAGAGCTGTATGGGCTCTTGAGACATCTGACCCAAGAGCCTCATTTTATATTTGGGAGGCCCAGCAACTTGCCCCTGTTCACATAGTAGGTGGGCAGCCGAGTTCAGACTTCAGTGCTTGACTGTGGACCCTGAGTTCTGTGTCCACCACCCCTGACTTGCCACCACAACCATTTGCAGCATACCCCATATGTGCAAAGCAGTGTTAGGAGCTAGCCACAGGACAGAGGCAGGTCGCCCCAGCTTTGCCATTAAGGAACGTCAAAAAAGTCACACATGCAAAAGACTGTCTTACAGGGTGCTCTGTGGTGTCATTAGAAGTTATGAATCTAAACACGTGGGACAAGTATGTGTGACTGGAAGGATCAGAAAGGCTCATTTTGGAATTGGCCTTTGTGGTTGAGCTTTTGGGAAGATGAGGTTTCAGTGTGGAGAGATGGTGGGGAGCAGAGGGGCCAAGGGAAGGGATGATGGGACGGGGCCTCCTGATTTCCAGCTGAGTGAGTGCTCAGGAGATGGTGAAAGGTGAGGCTCTGCTGTAGCCTGCAGGGACAGGGCCCAGGAACAAAGCTGCTGCAGGGCCGTCCTGCCAACCTTTGAGGGGGACATTGCCACCCCGGTGGGCCTGGAAGGCAGAGCATAAAGCCAAAGAGCATTATTCTCCAGGCTTAAGGCTTAATGTCATTTGTTCTGTTCAGTTTTGGACTTAATTGGGATCTGTCACTTGTTCCTTCTCCCCTAACTCACTCTTTTGGAACAGAATGTCTGTCCTATGCCTGTCCCGCCACTGTATTAGGAAACACATAGCTTGTCTGATTTCATAGGTTCACAGGTGGAGAGGAGTTTGGCCTCAGGATGAATCATGCTTTGAAGTCTCACCCATATCTGACTTAGATGCAATTTCAATGAGACTTTGGACTCTAGACTTTTGAGTTGATGCTGCAATGAGTTAAGACTTTGGGGCTGTTGGAATGGAATGAATGTATTTTGCATGCAAGAAGGACATGGATTTGAGGGGACTAGGGGAAGATGTGATGGACTGAATGCTATGTCTCCCCTGCCCCAATTAATATGTCGAAATCCTAACCCCAGTGTGATAGTATTGGGAGGTGGGGCATTTGGGAGGTGATTAGGTTTTGAGGGTGGATGGGATTAGTGCTTTTTATCAGAGAGACTCCAGAGACTGCCCTTGACCCTGCCACCATGCATGGGCACAGAGAGAAAATGGTTGTCTATGAACCAGGAAGTGAGACTGTCCCAGACACCAAATCCACGGGCACCTGGCTCTTGGACTTCTCAGCTTCCCACATTGTGAGAAAAAATTATCTATTGTTTATAAGCCACCCAGTCTCTGGCGTTCTGCTAGAGCAGCCCCAACAGACTAAGACAGCTTTTAAGCACCACGGAACTGAATGTGAAGGAGACAGTACTGGTTGTCTGCTGCTTCCCCGCTCCTTCCCAGCGGAATCTGGGTTCTGATAGGAATCTGCAGTCCCTTCCACACAGTCTTGTGCCTCAGGGGAGGCGGATGCCATATCAGGTGTGAGAGATGGCGCAACAGGTAATGCCAGTGATGCCGCTCCCCTCGCTGGTGACTGGCTGAGTGATGGACCCGTGAACTGATTTTGGCCAGTGAAGTGGAAGGGGACTTCTGGTGGTGTGTGCGGAAGGAGGGAACACTCCTGGGAACGTCTCCTCACACCTGAGAGAAAGTACAGAAGGAAAATGTCCTTTGTCCTCTGGATATTGCGGTGCCTGGACATGGTGTACAGAACGGGACAAGTGCATGCTGAAGATGAAGCCAACAGCTGGGATGGCAAAGGTGCGAGGGGATGAGATGGTCGTTGACGACATGCCCCCCCTGCTCCTGCCCCCCCTCCCGCTTTGAGTTCCCTGTTAAAGGACATTCATATATTTCCTTAGTGTTTTGGCCAGGGGGAGTCAGGGTTTCTGCCACCTGTTACCGAAAGCGTGGCGGGCCTTTCTGGAGGAAGTGAAACTTGGGATACCTGAAAGATGAGTAGGAGTAAGACATGAGGAAAGGGGGTAGAGGGCTCTAGGCAGAGGAACAGCGTCTGTGAAGGTGCCCAGGGCAGAGCCTATCACCCCTGCATGGGAGACACCGAGCAAATGCAGTGTGTCCGGAGCCGAGATGGGGCTATGGTGTATGTGTCCTGTGGGAGGGGAGGGGAGGGAGAGGGAGGAGGGACAGGGCCAGACAGGGAACCAGGAGCCAGGTCAGAAATAGCCCAGAAGGTTACACGGATTCATGTTGGGGAGGTGGCAGTGGTAATGAAAACCAGGGATGGATGGAAAAGACACCGGGGAGGTAGAATCCATGGCATTTGGCAACAGATGAGCTACGGGGTGATGGAGACAGCCAAGCAGATGCCAAGAATCTGGTGTGAGTGACTCAGACTGCGGTTATCATGAAAGGCCAGTCAGGCGGAGAACTGGGCTGGCGTGGGCCGGGGCGGAGGAGAGGACCAAAGCAGCAGCCAGTTCTGTGTTCTCTGGGTGTGAAGTGCTCAGATTCAGAGGCTGGAGGGATGTCACTCTGTGGATGGTGATGGGTGACGGGCAGCCACTGTCAGCGGGCAGTCCCCCCGCACCCGGGTGAGATCCAAACCACAGCGGTGACCCATGTGCCCAGAGCTCTCCGGAACATGCACAGGACCGAATGGGGCTCAGGTTTGTCCCCACACCTGCTCCCCCTGCCTGTCCTTGTCCAGGGTCTGGGGGGCAATCCCACCCTCTCTGTCCCCTTGGCAGTGCTTTATATCAGGGACCAGGCCCAGCCTGTGAGTTCCAAAGTACTGGGTCTTATAACTCAGCAGGCTGGCTTTTCAAGACTACTGTCCCTGCTCTGTGAAAATGAAGCGAGCTATCTGGGAATTCCATGCTTTTTGTGTCTCCATTCTTCTGGGCTGGTCTTTTCTCGAAGTCCAGTTTTAATAGTCAGGAATCCAATGTTAATATATCAAACAGCTACCTCAGCATGGGTAGTAGCCACGGAAAGAATGGAGACAGAGAGAAATGTGGCCTGGTGGAGATACAGGAACAAACTGGGTTAATCAGAAATGGAAATGCAGAAATCTACTCCATCTGCTTAAAACCCATGGGATGGAGAGAGAGCTCCTCATGGTAGCCCACACGAGTATCCAGGCCTTCATACTAGCTTCAAAATTAGGAAAAAAGTGGATTCCTAAGCTTTAGTGGATTGTTTTTTTTTTTTGCCTCGAGCCCCACAGGATGTATAAGTTGGGGTATGGGGCCAACATCCCAAATGGAGTGCCGACCCCCATTCCCTGGTTCTGGGAAGAGGCAGAGGAAATCCTCCGGCACTAAGCAAGCAAACAAACACCCACCCAAACAAAACAACACGACAAGCCCCACACTGAAAACTTTCCACTTGCAAACATGTTTTTGTCACTGCCAAACGTTTAGGATTGCAACATTTCGGCGTCTTTGGCCCCAAACCCGAGGACTCTGCCGTTTTCCCAAAGCACCTAAAATAAAGAATTCCTTTTGGCAAAAACAGTGTGTTTGTAAACAGCAAGGCTTTATTTTCGAGAAACTCAATTCCCCCTTAGATGTAGAGTATTTGGAATAAAACCCCTGCAGCTATTTTCCGTCTGCTTCTCCCATTCCAGATTGTCACTGGCAGGTAGAAAATATCTCTGGTTGGTGTGTGTGTGTGGTTTCCATTAACTGGGTGTGTGTCTGGAATGTGTGCTTGTCGGCCAGTTACTGATTGCCTTCTGGTGCTTCTTGGGAGGGAGCTCCACAGATGAGGTGCTGCATTCTTCCAGACTCTGGGTTTCTTGTGCCCCAGGATCGTGAAGCTCGGAGCTTCCCAGAGGTACGGCCAAACCTCTCTGATTCTTGTCAGGAAACCTATCCCAGCCACCTGAACATCAAACCTGTCAAACAGCACTGATCTGAAGTTAGAGAGGCTGATTTTCTAGCTGCTTTTTAGAACAGCTTTGCTGCTAAAGATAAGCTATCTTGCCCCTCCTTGAGAGTCCGGTACCATCTTTTTTCCTCTCCCCCTATTTACCGTCAGACCCTGTTCACACAGAGGGCTGTAATTACCTTCCTGCTTTGGAAGGTGGCCTGAGACCCTAACTGAATCTTACGAATCCTGCTCACTGAATATTCAAAATTTAAAATACCTGGTCTGAGCTCCTGAGACGAAAGAGTTTTTATCTGTGATATTTTTGGGCTTGGCTACAGAAGGAAGTATATCTATATTCTTATTGAAGCGAAACTCAAATATCATAAAATGAACTATTTTAAAGTGGACAGGTCAGTGGCACTTAGTACATCCTCAGTTTTGTGTGACCAATACCCTTCTCTGTTTCTAGGATATTTTCATCCTTGCAATGAAAATCCCTTACCCATTAAGCAGTTTCTCTTCCATTCCTCCATCCCCCACAGCCCCTGGCAACCACCGATTTGCTTTCTGCTTCTGTGGATTTGCCTATGCTGGCTGTACCACACAGCTGGTGTCACACAGTATGTGGCCTTTTGTGTCTTGCTTTTTTTCTTAGCATGTTTTTGAGGTTCATCCATATCAGGAGGAATTCGTCTCCAAAATAAATCCCGCTGAAGAGCTATTATGTTTCTATTTGAAGCTGATAGGAGCTTTCAGGACCTGAGGGATGAACCCCAATGCTTGCGAGGCCCTGGAAAGATCCTCAGAGGCTGCAGAAGTCAGACTCTGTTCCTGGAAACACCTGCCTGCTGCTGACTCTGTTGTCCCTGGCTCAGGCCCTGGGTTATGCCTCTTGAGACCCTCACCCCATCTCCTGTTCATGGCCCTTGCCACCTTCTTTCCCTCCCTGCTCTCACATAACAAACTGGTTTCCACTGAGTGAATTCTACACGGTTCTGCCTTGTATCTGGGTTCAATGGATCGTGAGACAAAGACGAGTCTCACAAAACCAGGGAGAAGACAAATAGTGGGTTTCCGAGCTTCCAGCACTTTTCATTTTGTTAAGGAGCCATGAGGTCTCGTGAGACAGAGATGGGAACAGATGGCATCATAATACCTGGACAGGTAGATGGGTACTGGATTAAGAACTCCTGGGAAAGGTAGGTAGTCATGAAAAATTTTGAGTGGATGCCTGCAATAAAATATTGTAAGGATATGAACTTAAAAATGACTTGCCATGTTGCCTTTTCTTTGTATGTTTTAATACTATTGTCTTTTCATTGAAAAAAATCCTTGCACTGTCATCATTCCTAGGGCTATTATTGACTTTACCCATTTTTTGAATTTTTTTCTTATTTTTATATCCTCATTATATTTTTTAAATGTTTTCTGAAATTCAAGAAATTCGTCCTTCTGGAATTGGAATTAATTCATTCTGGAGTTAGGAATTAGCAGTTACTAAATTTTAATAATTTGTTCTTACCTGATTTTGCTTAGGGCAGTTTCTCTTCAAGCAGGCTTATCTAGCCACTAGGTGGCGCTCATATGCTATTGTAAAGGGATTCTGATATTGAAGTTAGAGAATTTGGAGACCGGTTTGTCTTCATTTAAGGTAAATACAGGAATTGGCCCGTACAGTCTGTACGTGCTTTGTGGATTATAGACTTCTTCCTCCTTCTCTTTGCTAGACTGCCTTTCTCAGTATGGCATCATGATTAAGTACAGGGACTGTAGAGTCAGACTAAGTTCAGATACTGCCTCTATCATTTGCTTGCTATATGACTGTAAGTAAGTCACTTAACTCACACTTCATGTGAATTGGGTTAATAATATATCTCATAGAGTGGCTGTGATAATTAAGAATTTAATTATATTAAAGCATAGGGTTATATGTGTTTGCTTTTTTAAAAAATTCGTTGTGTTTTTCCCCAGCTTTATGAGATATAATTGACATATAACATTGTGTAATTTTAAAGTGTGCAAGGTGATGATTTGATACACGTATTTGTTACAGAATGAGAACCCAAACGGAATTAGTTATGTGTTTATTAGAATTAGTTATTATCAAGATTTTTAATCTGCACTGTGGCATTGCCAATAACTTAGACAAACGTTTCCCAAATACCAGTTCAAGGACTAGCCATGTCAAAATCACTTAAGGATCTCATTTCAAATACAGATTTATAAGTTCCACATCTGGAGTGCCTATTTCAGTGATTTTGGGTTGGGGCTTAGGGATCTATTTTCTTTAAAAACTTCTTATGTGATTCTTATGCTCAGCTAGACCTGGGGACCAGTGACGCAGACTATCCAGGGGTGTCGCTGTCTACCCAAGTCTATTCCAGGTGTGAGAAGCTAATGCTGTGTTCACACTGGCAATTTCCAATTCCCCTTCCCTACAAGGAGTGTGCCATCCAAAACTCTGTACAGTAGGACGGTTTCCTCTCACTGTCATCTTTCGAGGCTACCTCATGAATGAGGCTGTACTGTGTCCACTGGCTTTTTCCAGCTTGTACCTTCACATTCAAGTGACCTGTGGGTAAATCAAGCTTGGGCCCTTTCCTCCTCCATCAACTGGTCATAGTAGACATTCCATGTGGTAGTAGGTATGAACTAAGGAGAGATACTTATGCATCAGTGGTGAATGACGTGAGTGTCTGGGATACCTGCTTGTATAGCTAGCTTATGCTTTTGGTCTGGATGTACCACCTACATCTTACAAAGGCCTACCCAACCATGTGGCTTTATGGGTGTGATGGAACCTGGCTTGTCATGGATGACTGGCTACGTGGTGTCCAGGGTCTTGTATATTCATCTCTCCCAGACTCCAGTAGCCTGCTAAGAGCTGCTTCTTCCTAAGTTGCGCAGTTATTTGCTGTAGTTGACATGGCTGTGTTCCAGAACTCTAAGTGCCTGAGTTGTGATTTTCCCAATGTGGATTGTCAAAATCTCCACACAGTGTCTTTTTCCATCACCAATATTTCTAATGCCACAGGGTCTGCTGGATCATAGGGTTGAAGCCACAGGGCCACCTGCCCTGCAGCCTGAACCTTTTGCAGAACCTTTTCTATTTTGACTCCCATTTAAAACTTTTGTGTCTCCTGTTATATGGATGTGAGCAATATCCCCAAATATGGAATTAATGTCCAGAACTCAAAAGGTCCACTGGGTGTTGTTCTATAGTCTTGGTTTAGATGGGGTGAGATACAATAATTTGTCTTTACTTTGGCTGGGCCCCAGATCCTGGACCCTTCCAGAGCGTACCGTGGTGGCCGGCCTCTGGGTCTTCAGGGGGTTGTTTCCCATTGTGTTTATTACATGAGTCTGACTTACAAAGGCCTCCAGTATACTTCCCACTTCTTGCTCATCAGGTCTGATTCTCATGATGTCCTCACCAGGGTGTTGGTCTGCAGATGTCCAACCGGTCCTGGTTTCCTCAGACTAAATTATGACAGAGACAGGAGAGTTAACATAGCGTGGGTCGGCCCTCTAAGAGAATACCTTTGCCCGTTCTGAGTAAATGTGAACTGTTTCTGAACTTCCTTTTTGATAGGGATGAAAAGGACACAGTTCCCAGATCAAAGGCTGTGTTCCAGGTACCTGAGTCTGGGCTTAAGTACGGATACACTGTCTGGCAAGGGGCCTGAGTACCAGCTGTGGGCTGCTGCTTGTTTCAGTTTGTGGGAGTCTGTCAGTCTCCAGGACCTGTCTGATTTCTGCAGGGACCAGATTGATTAATTAAATGGTGATATGATAGGGGCCATACCATGTAGGTCATTAAAGGTAGTTCTAAGCTTTAAAATGCAAGCCTCCCCTTTCTCCCACCCCAGGATATGATATTGTTTTTGATTTACTATCTTGGCTGGGGTAGGAGGCAGTTTTAGAAGCTTCTCCTTGGCCTTTCTCACTCCACTAGCTCTTACCTGTGTGAGCATTTGCAACTGTCATACATTTGGGGATTGGGGTAATGGCTGTGGGGTGCATTCACTCACCCAGTTCCTGGTCAGCCATGGCTGACTCCTGGGATGGGATAGACTGGCCAGTATCTTGCTTGGTTGCTGTGCCTGCCCTCTGAGAGTGCTGTTCTCTGCCATCGCTTATCTCTGCCTGGGTGACCCCCAGGGATACACTCTGACCTTGCCACGCATTAGGGTAATTGTCTGCTTCTGACAGCTGAGCAGAGCCACCTGGTCTCTAGTACTTTGGTTCTATAATCCCCAGTTACCAGTGGGCCTGCTTCTGTAATGGTGTCAGCCCTGCCCTACAGAGAATGTCACCCATGAGACTGTCAGCGGGGCTGACACCTCTCGACAGTGCACTCCTTATTGCTTCAGTAAGTGGGACCCCCTCTGGGACTCCCCATTGAACAACCTCTGTGGAGGTTTCTGGCCTTACATGGTAAGTTTACCCTAGCTTCCCACTTTCCCACTCCTGTTGATTTTTCCTTCACTGTTCATTAGGGCAGTTCTGGAACTTCCATGTCACTTCGTGTGACCCTATTCCAGGTGTTGGAGGGCCACCCCAGCAGCACATAACTCCATCTCTTGGAATTCTTGTTGGGGTGCTATTATGGGCTGAATTGTGCCCACCCATAAATTCATACGCTGATGAAGCCCTAACCCCCCAGTGTATCTGAATGTGATTGTATTTGCAGACAGGGTCTTAAATTAGAATGAGGTTATTAGGGTGGACCCTGAACCAATCTGATATCCTTATAAGAAGAGATCAGGATACAGACACACACAGAGGGAAGACCTCATGTCTTCCTGGATGGGCACAGGGAGAAGGCAGCCATTTACAAGCCGAGGGGAGGCCTTGGAAGGAACAAACCCTAGACTCCAGGACTGAAAAAATACCTTTCCATGATTTAAGCCACCCGGACTCAGGTACTTTGTTGTGGCAGCCTGAGCAAACTGATAGAGGCC